TCTATAAATTTTTGGATACAATACAAGTTTCACTTTAAGAAACAATAACAGAAAAAAAATTTCTGAGTTTTAAACTCTCATACACCACCAGGGCCCAATGAATGACACTGTAAGTACTCTTATAATTCAGAAAGAGATGAATGGATACATTATGGAGTTTGCATTTATGTAGGGAGAGAGAGAGGAAGAAAGAGTTCAGTGTAGGAAAAGGGATGTGGTCTAGGAAACCTTGGTTATAGATACTTTGGACGAAAAAATAATTTCCAAGTACTTCCCTGGTGGCCCAATGGCTAAGACTCTGACCTCCCAATGCAGGGGTCTCAGGTTTGATTCCTGGTCAGGGAACTAGATCCCACATGTTGCAACTAAGAGTTTACATGCTGAAACTAAGACTCAGTGCAACCAAATAAATAAATAAATGTTAAAAAAAAAAACAACAATAATTTCCAGGAAACTGGGACAAGTTGGCATATTGAATATACATCATTTATCTTTTATGTTATTGAGAACTTCTACTTTTGTCAAAGAAAGAAACTGTAAGAATATCAAAAGGAACGACACTTTCAAAAATACTATTTTAATACTATTCAAAGTTCTAGAGAACTGAAAAATAAAGATAACTTGTCCTGGGGTTCAGAAATTTAGCATTTCCAGCTGTGGTCAGTTCTTGGTTTGATTCTTGAGTCTAGTTTTACAAGCCAGAGTGATTTTCTCCTTATTTAAATGGGGTCCAGTTTAAAGATTCTGCCTTTTAAAATCTCCTCCAGAACTTCTCAGAAAACCCAAATGCCTTGTTTACGGAACAGACGCACAGCAGGGCGAAATAAATGCGGAACTGCTTGACAGGCAGAACTTGTTATTCTATCAGAGTTGCTGTTAATCTTCAGATGATTATTTTTGCAATATAAAATATATAGCCTGGATTACAAAAACGAACTCCCCACCTGACACACTCATAAACAGTTTTATAAGAGCTAATTTTAGATCATTCCTAGTTCTTTTCCATTTCATCATTAGAGATACTTACACTTTTAAGAAATTCTATAGTGCCTCTCAAGATCCTCATGTAAGCAAACACTCTCCCACGATAGAACCCAACAGATGTAGTGGGTTTAGCATACTATGGAAAAGATGGGAGCAGTGGCATTATTATCTTCCCTTGGTTGAACTGGTGGTGTGTTATGAAAAGCTGATGATGTAAGAAGATGTGATGCATAAGAGAAGGCCAAAAACAATGACAGCAACAAGTAAGACAAAAGGAATAAGGGGCATTATCAATCTCAGTATTTGACACATTCTAATTGATAGCTATAATCACACTGTTGTTAGCCCTTAGGGCGCATCGAGTGGGCTTTCTGCAAGCAAAGTTATGGCATCTGACATTTTTGTCTTAACAGCATTTCTTCTCACTTATGCAAGTCTTTGTTCCATAAAGCATTTTCATATTTTTTATTATTTCACTTGCTTCTTACCATATCCCAGTGAGAGGAGTAAAACAGAAATCATTGCCTGTATTTTATGGATCAGTAAAAATGGTCACAGACTACAGTCATACACTCTTTAAGTTGTTCTGAGGTCAGAATTACTGGCATGATGTACTTTTCTTTCTACCAGACTTTGAGTCAAAACACACCCACTGCTCCCCATCCCCTACATGTAATATTTGAAGGAAAAAGAAAATTTCTAAGGAAATTTTTCTCCTCATGAAAGCTGCTATTATATTTATAGTATCTCTTCTCTGAGATAGGTTAAAATACCCAGGTGCTATTTAAGTTAACAAACATAAATAGTGATTTCTTTAAAAATAGAAATATTTCTCTTTAAGCAAATAATATATAAAAATTTGGTTTTCTGGGAAGAGGAATTAGGGGATTATGTTCCTTTACAAAAAGACTCTGAATAAGATTGCCTTAAATAGCAAAATTTCCCAGTACATTTAAGCTATGTTGATTTATGAAAACCTGATTCATATAGAACTTTACAGGAATACATCTGTTATATAAATCCATGCTCACCTGTAATTTACTCTAGAGGGAACAATTGAGTGATAATAATAATAACATACTCATACAATTCTTCATTATATATTTTAAAGTGCTTTCTCCTAATTTATTGCATTTGTCTTTGGCAACCTTATAAGGGAGGTAGAGAGGGTATTATTATCCTTTCTTTACAGATGAAAAATTGAGAGGTTAAGTGACTTGCCCAGGGTCAGACAGACTATTCATTCATTTACGGCTCTTTGAGTGATGTAGTTTTAACAGTGAAGTCAAGGAAGTAAGGTTCTTCCTCTTAATTTTTTTTTTTTTTTTTGGTAACCAGCTGTGAAGGCTATTAAAATGGAGGTGGATGATCTCACAAATATAAAGCTGGATGAAAGAATCCAGACACAAAAGTTACATATTGTAGGATTCTATTACTGTAAAATTCAAATGCAGGCAAAATTAATCTATGTTGGCAGAAGGCAGAAGAGGGGGATGGTGAGGGAAGCAGGGCAGAGTTTCTATGATATGAGACATTCTATTTCTTGATCTGGTTTGTGGTTAGACAGTTATGTACACTGTGAAGATTCATTGAGATGTATACTTATCTACTTTTAAAAATATATATTATACAAGTTTTCTTTAAAAGAAGAATTTTACATTGTTAAGAACTGTGCAATGCACTTTATAAGATCACTATATTATACACATCCTTCAAACATTTGTGATTTCAACTGAATTTCTTAGCTGCATTTTTAAAAATGAGAGTATGAACTAAGTCTGAAGAGTTTAAAGAGAAAAAAAAGTTGAGAAAAAATATCCCAGGATCACCTTTATCTGAAAAGTAGCTATATGAAATGGGAAACTGGGGCAAATTAAGACAATGATATAATTCATTTAGGACTAGATGGGACATTTATACTTAATGACATTAAGCTAGGAAGAGTAGGGAATTGGGATTAAGTTGTTCTTCCCAAAGTGTATCATAGAGCACATATATGAATTTAGAGAAGATAAGATTATAATTTTAAAAACAGCCATTTTTATTTTAGAACTTTATATATTACAGTGCTGCTTTGGACATTGGGGTACAAAACCATTTATCACTGGCAATTATAAAAATCTGAGTTGACTCTGCATACCTGGGCTCCTGAGAATCCCAAGTAACCTTTGATGTAAGAGTGTATGGGAGTAAAATGTTTTGACCATTATCCATTATAAAAATTACAGGTGTGTTCAAATGCTTAAAGATTTCCAAAGATCCTACACCTTCTGTGATCCTATAATCCTGAGAGCTAATGCTGCACTTGTATACAAAGTTACCACAGACGGCAGATGTTTTGTTTAATTTTCACATACGCTCTTTTGCTGTTGTTGCTTTTCTTTCATTTTACTTGTTTTTAAAAAGGAATCCACAATGGCACCCTCTGCCTGATCATCCACATCAAATATCTATCTTGACACTATAGGTCAGGAACAGAGAATTTCCAGGCAGTGGGTCAGGTGTGGTCCCAGGATGCTTCCACTTCATCAGTGACGTTCTGAAGACAGCTCCACGATAGCTAGGACTACAGCTTGCTGAGTGTCTTCCCAGGAGGGCTGCTAAAGGCATCCTGTGCAGGGAGAAGCCTTTGACCTTTAGCCTATGCACACATTTGTTTTAATTACTGGCCAACCAGTGTGTTTCTGTGCATTCACTACGACCCAGCTAACTATTTTTTTTTTAATACATTTTACATCCTGAACACCTGCAGGCTGCATGCCACACATCGAGTGGAACGGACATGATCAAGTTGATTGTCATCACTGCATCCAGGACGAGTGTGAGACATCGTCGTCCTCTGGAATTTGGGTTATTAGTCCATAACCCTGTGTTCCCCAATATTGCTTATGTCACAAAGTAGGTCAGAAAGGTGACTCCAGAGAGAGACAGGCAGGAAGAGACAGGAAGAGGCAGGTTGAAGGAATTCTACTCTTTGGAGCTCAGCAAGCTGCCCCAAATTCTTTATCTCTGGCAAAGGATAAACAAACCTGAGAAGCTGGGACCCACGTGTCTATAGGCAAGTCCAAGAAGAATCATTTCATGATCTTTTTTAATGTCATAAATTAGGAAGGCACCACTGTTTCTGGGTGGAAGCACAAATGATATTCACACCATAACTGCTGATGTTTTAACCATTAACTCTACTGTTTTATTACCAATTTGTGGGATCAAAAAGGCACAACTGCTTTCTCCCTTCAACAAAAGAAAACCCCCTTGAATCACTGTGGGAGGTTTGCTCTACTAATTCATGGGAAGTCACACCTGGTTCTTTTGACGTCTCATTTCTGTTTAACAGGCGTGTCCCTGAATTTCATCTCTCTTATAGAAGTCTTCCTCAGCATTCTTTGTCACTTGTTTCACCTGGAATCTCCCTCTTTTTTTCCTCCTGTATCAGTTTTGCAGATGTGTTTTCATGCTATCCTTACCATGTGATGAATGGAGTCTATCACTTTTTTTTGCTTGTTTATTTTAAAGGAGTTCAGGGCTTCCCCAATGACTCAGTGGGGAAAGATTCCGCCTGCAATGCAGGAGACACAGGAGATGCAAGTTTGATTCCTGGGTCGGGAAGATCTCCTGGAGGAGGAAATGGCAACCCACTCCAGTATTGCTTCCTGAGAAATACCATGGACAGAGGAGCCTGGTGGGTTACAGTCCATGGGGTTGCAAACAGTCAAACATAACTAACCGTGCGTGTGCATGCATGCGTGCGCGTGCATGTAAGCACACACACACACACACACACATTTACCATTTTAAAAAATTGAAGTATAGTTATCTTATGATGTTTTGTTAGCTTCAGGTGTATAGCAAAGTGATTCAGTTATCATCAGTGTTTTAGCTTTTACTAATTCTCACTTCTTTTTGTTATAGGTTACACAATAGATATATTTGTTACACACAGTATTGACTGCAGCTTTGAGTAACTTGTCTTTCCATTCTTTTCAACACAGAAAAAGATAAATTCAGATACTTGCCATCAAGCCTTGTTCTCCTGGTTTCCCTGGTTCACCCTTAAAAAAGAATAATGATAATTTTATTGATGTTGTAAACAGTACAAACCAATTTCAATCTTTTTTTTTTTCTTTTTCACAATATCCACTGGGGATTGAGAATGTAAATATATACTTCTCAGGCTAAAGAGAGGAATGCAAACATAATGAAATATAAAGGGTACTGATGTTCTTTCTTCAAATGCATTTGTAAACATTTTAAGATTTAATATGATGACTCTGTGTTACTTACTGCAGAAATTTAAGAACTATGCCAAGAAGGTTTTCTAAATAAAACTAGTAGGAGTGATTATATTGTAAAGCAGCTAAGGCTTTCTCTATCTTTGGGGTTTCATACTGAGAAAAAGTGAGACCTTAGAAGACAGTTTTAAGATGAAACCTCTACCTCTGATGGTCCAGTGAAAGCAGTCCTAACAACCAGAAAATTATGCTGAGAGTCAACTTCATTCATAAATTTACTGCAGCTTTTGAAGAGGAGGTTGTCTCAGAAAAGGTTTAAGGTACCCTATATTCTTTAAAAAAAAGAGTCACTTAACACATACATAAATATGTGAATATAAAAATTAAATATGCCAAACATTAATGACTATGGCAGACTTTTTTCTTTTGTGGTTACTTTTATTTTCAAATTTTTCTACTTTGTGGATTAATATTTTATTATTACCTTTGTACTGTGAAAACACTAATGAAAATAAGTTAAAGTAATATATTAAATAAATAATTTAATTCAGCAATAAACCTGAACTTCTGGTGCAAAAGTCATAAGTGTACAAATTTTTGACCTTTTCCATGTATTTCTTTAAATCACTGACTTGCCTCTACAAAACTTAATCATTTATCTGATGTCTTGTGTTAGTCTATTATTGACATTTCACCAATCTAAGTAACTAAGTACTTAGTAAATTAGTACTTAGATCAAAGTGTTGAGATGGCTAAGTCATTTCTATTCATAAGCTTCACATACAAAGGACAAATGATATTCAAATTGTAAATGCTGTTGTTTTAACCATTAATTTCACTGTTTTATTAGCGATTACTTGCCAGGGATTAAATATTAGGATGATTTACCTCTTTTACTTTCTGTAAATTGCATAGGACTTTATTGTCTCTGTTTTGGTCCTTTGGGAAATGTTACCAATCTCCCATCTAGTTTTTCATGCCAGTCTTCCATTTAAACCAAAGGTTGTGAGGTCCTCTATGGCACTCAGGACGCATGTGATCAGGCATCTCTACCCGCAGGTTTCTTGAGGCTCACCTGAACACCAGATCAGTCGCTGTTTCCAGGCCCCTCCTGTGGTTTGCATGGGTGCCCGGTGGGTTGAGTGGAGAGCAGACTCCTGTGGGCAGTCTCCTCTGACCGGTGACTTTCCTATCATCCCAGTTCCCTCAGCCCACTCCACTCATCTGACCTCCACCACCCCATCGACCCAACTCCATCCCAATTCTCAGAGCTTCAAAGGAAACAAAACCAGTGAGAACAACTGAACCAAAAAAGCAACTCACGGGCACGCCTGGCATTCCGCGGGGGCCATCCTTCCCTGTGTCCCCAGGCGGCCCTCTTGGGCCCGGGGGGCCTGGCGGGCCTGGCGGCCCAGCCTGACCTTGGTCACCCTGCAGTAGGGGGACAGACCAACAATAACTGTGAGCGATGAAGACCCAGGTCTCCTTTTCAACACTTGAAATTTGTAGTATCTAATCCCCGTTTATACTATAAAAAGAACCCGAACAACCAGGAACCTAAAGCCTGAAGGCAATTTGCCTGCCAGCAGGAAGCAAATAAATATTCATGCTGGGTGAGCTGAGTAGACACTGTTTGAAATCAAAGCTCGGGAACCGGCACTCTCAGCTCTTGGAAGGAGTGTGCATGTTATTATAACAGAGCTGGCAGAAAACTTCTGCATAACTTTATCCATGACAATGCTGCATGGGTTATATTCACCTTGCTTAATAAAATGGCTGCATTTATAATTGGACAAATATCTACTTTTTCATAACTTACAAAATTAGACATACAAGGCTCTAGTCATGCTGAGAAATAATTTATACATTACCAAAGCTAGAGAGCTTAGAAACGGGATCTGTCGCTGGATATAATTTTTAAGCTGTTTTCCTTTTTCTTCATTTAAGAAAAAAATTAGATAGGCTTTCTATACCTTTTGCTTTGGGTATTTTCATATACATTTCAAACAAATGCAGCTCATGAAACATAATTTCGCTTTAGTATATTTTAAAATAAATACCCACCACCCACACCCCATCCATGAAAGATAAATGGTTAAGCAACCGTATACAGAGTAAAAATCGAATCTAAAGGAGAAATCCAACTTGAGCAAGAATAAGCACTACCTTAATCAGGCGGCGTTTAATGAGCTGCTGATCAGCAGAGAGAAACCCATGATTGATTTTAGGAAACACCATCTGATCAGTCAGGTGAGGTCAAAGGTTGGAGTTCAGAGGTGAGAGAGTTGAAGAATAGGCATCAGAAGACCCCAAGAAAGAAATAAAGATACACACATTAGACTTATAATAACCATCCAGCAAAACAGAACTGGTACTTGTGTCTGACATCAGACTCTCTGGCTCTTCTTGAAAGAACCATAACCCTGAAATGGGATGGTGAAACCAGATTTTTAGTTAGAAATGAATCTTGTTTTTTTTGCTGTGGGTGTTGGGTCTTTTTAAACATTGTACATAGAGAGGCAGGTAACCTTGAGTCACCTGTACTCTGAGCAGAAAGTCCAGAGACAAAGCGCCAGTTCAATTTTCGTCAGATTCATCAACCAGCATAATGTGGCATGAACGCGACTGTCACGTTATTGATGCCCAAAGTCCAGAGCATTTAGGATTATCTGATGTACTGAAAGCTATCACAGAGCATGGTGATGCATGTCAATCAGACTACCAAGGCATGGCACAGCCTATGAGAGCTTGCCTGCCTTTCTTCGACTTCAGTATCCTCCCCTCTTTCAGGCTCAAGGTTCTCCTTTTTAATATACATTTGGTCCCGCTGATGGAGGTGAGGTCCTGGATGCCCAGTGACCTGCTGTGTGGGATGAAAGGCGTGACTGGACTCGGCAAGCCAGTTGAGCGGTTCTTGCTCACTCTTATGCTGGTTGCGGGCTCTGACTGAGCAGGCATGGGTGCCAACCACAAACCTTGACGGTGAGGATCTGGTTACTGTGCAGAGCAGCAACTGTGGGGAAGCCTGGCAGACCCTACGGACAGGGCACAGCACCAAAACAACACGACACAAAACGTCACACAGACATTCCACCGGTGGACGGACAGAACAAGCACGCACCTAAAGCCACCCCATCCCGGCTCTAAGTCTTGCCTTGTTTGACACACCCTGAACAAAATGAGATATGTGAGGTCCCCAAGCCAAGCATTCCCTCAAGGGAATGGTCGACTAGAGAACTCAGGTCCACTGGGATTTCACGTATATCCTCAAGATTTCTGGACTCTTATATATAAAATGTTAGTACAGAATGGAGATAACTACAGACTCTGTTACGAACACAACACTGTAATTTCCTTCTACTGGAGTTCTGTTTACAACTCAGGATGTACATGTATTAAATCTTTTTTTTGGACAACAGTGAACAGAATTTTGCAGTCAGATCAGACGTATTCCTCCGAATAACTGCAGTATGCCTCACAGAATATAGTCTTACCACCCACATATCAAAATTTCTCTCTCCGATCATATGATGACTCTCAGGTCTTTCCTGTCTCAGGAATTCCTGCAGAGGTGGTGGATGGAAATCTGTCTCTTATAACATGTAGATTTCATGTCAGGGGGATTTATGGTCACACTCTGCAGTAATCGCTTCTGTCACGTAACTTTTCCAAGAGAACTTGACAGTTCACACACCCCCCTGAAGCAGAAAAGTGGTTTTGAATTCCTTAACAGAGGAGAAGGAGGGAGAGATGTTTTAAAGGGCCTGAACTTTACTTAGCTTGTACTAATTTGTCCTCACAGGCTTTATCAATTGGGTAGGTCTGAGAGAGAAATTTTGCCTGTGTTCTATTTCTTTTTCAATGACATGTGATACCAGAGGCTTGAATTCCAAATTTTTTTCCCACGCAGAATCCGTTTACTATACAAAAAGTGAACAACAACCACGACAATATATGGCCTTGAGCGCCTGCAAGATTCCTTCCTGTGTTTACTCCTCACTCTTCCCACCTCCCACCCAAATCTATTTTAAGGATATTTTTGGAAAAAGCCAGAAATTTTCTAGTTTTTAAATTTTATTAGTTTTGGTATATTTTCTCCCCTATTTCCCCTTATTAGGAATCTTTTTTTCTTATGAGAGCCAATAAAATTATGTTTGTAGTCTGAGACAGCTCTTCAGCCCTAATGCCTTTGGTTCTCCTTCTTTAAGAGCTGGGACTTCTGAGGAAGCAAAGTCGAAGACATCTCATCGCTTTTGCCAAATCCTTTCCGATAAGGCTATTAGGTGGCTGGGTAGTTTCAAGGTGACCCGTAGCCTCTTTTTCTTCTCCTCAAGTAAAAGTTCTTTAAACATAGACTCTCCACAAATTCAGCAATGCTACAAGTTGGAAAACAGATGTGTACAATTTGCCTTTGTTTTACTATGGAATATGAGTTTAAAATGTTATTAGATGGTTACATGCCAGCATCTTTCCATCTGTGACTCATTAGCCCTATATTACACAGTCAGAATTTTATATATAAACCTCATATTTATGTAACAAAGAACAAAAACAGATACAAACAAGAAGTCTATGAGGGATCGGAACCTTGATTAGTGGCGATAAATCATAGTGTCACTTGAAACGGGATTATCTAACAAAAATAATTTAAAATTAAAAAACCTTTTTAACAGCACACATGGTAGATCTTACAAATGTTTTGAAATTTGCATGTATAAATAAGTCACTTTTTTTACTCATATCTGAGCATGACCAGCTTGCTGTTTGATCTTATTTTCTAAATGCTTACCAAAAAGCATTAAGTTTTAGAACTTAGTTTGGTTTCCAGTTGCCATTAAGATCTAAAGAGAGAAGTGGATAGGTGATTCCTATCTCAGACAGACCCTTTTTCTCAAACAGAACATCTCTGTTTGAGGAAGCTGATTTATATTCCTCAATCATCTTAATTGTGGACATGCTGCCAATTAGGTGCTTAGAACAACATTTAAAAGATTTCATTAGCAAGCTAGCCAAAAGGACTTCAGGAGCTTACATGCAGTGAAGTAGAAAGGAAACAGGTGGACAATTCTCATGAATTCTAACAAAAAACTCACGGCCTGGGCTACAATATCGTAGACTCCATGCTTTTCAAATTGGGATAATGCTTAAAAAGAGCATGATGAAAGTGTCCTGTGGAAAGCTTAAAGATAATAATAAATGTGGTGCCTTGTCCTTGAGAGTCAATTTTAATGAATGGTAATTTTTTTTTTTTTTGGTTGTGGAGCTTGCAGAATCTTAGTTCCCTGACCAGGGATTGAACCCGTGCCTCCTGCAGTGGAACTATGGAGTCCCAACCACTGGATTGCCAGGGAATCCCAATGGGAAGTAACTGGAAACATTTTTAAATAAAGCAAATGTTGACATAATTTGGGGTAAAATATAAACCTGGCACAAAACAAAAATGTTACCATTGGATAGTGGTAGAGAACCTGACCTTACGGCGGATACCCCCAGGTCACACACACACCCTGGGCTGACCCTGCTTCCTGCAGGAGGTCTTTGGAGGGCGAGTCTGAAAGCACTGGTGCTGAGCGCTTGTCTGCACATCCAGGCTTTGTGTGACCAGAACTGTGAGGCCGCCCTCACTGTTCACACAGAGAGGGCACTTTAGCACTACACACGCCGTTCTTCCACAGGATCATTAGTTACAGTTCTTTCTAAATAAATGGAATGGACATATTTCACTTGGGTTTACATCTCAGAAAATTTGCCTGGTACACAGATGGTTTGAGTGGGTGTGGAAAAAAAAAAATCTGTCTCCAGAAAAACATGGAGAAAGAGCCCAGGAATCAGCTGAAATACTGAAATAATTTGTACTCATTTTCACTCCCAAAGATTTTGAGTGCTTAAGAGATCGGACGTACAAAAGTATAAAACTACTTTTTATAACCCATTTTCCTGGGCATAAAGACTTAGACAACTTCATGAATCTTCCCCACATTCTGTGAAGAAGGTAACCAACCAGGACTAGGGTTCGGATTCCATTACAGGAGGAACTCTCTCCCCCTTCATTGCCTTCTAGAAGGAAAGATGCTGGTCTGCCCCAGAGGGATGGAGGACAAATACATAATTCATAAGAAATGTTGCTAACTACTTGGAAGCCATTAAATATAAGATGCTATTGTCATTTTTATTGCATACTCAGTAATGATGAGTGTTATATATAATTACATTATAGTGAGAAAATTTTGTGTTTTGTCAAAAGTATGCAATAAGGCAATGATAGAGCCAGAAACTTAATCTAGGAATTCTGATTCAGACTTTGTCATCATGAAATTTACATGTTTATAATTTCTCTCTACTGGTTTTATAGTTTAAATACCAGAAAGCTGAAAAACTGACTAAACATACAGCAATATTTAAGAAGCATTTACTGAGAGCCTTCTGCATAGTCTTCACTGTGCTAGGCCCTGGGGATTGCATGGTGAGTAAGACCCCAAGCTCACTAGGTTTAATGTGTGGTGGGGAAATAGGGAAAAATAAGTGGGCAGTAAAAGATAAGAGGTGATAACCATTATGATGGAGAAATGGACAGACTGCAAAGGAAATAAAATGTGCACCTAACACTCAGTTGGCGGAGTCATGGAAGACTCCCCAGTCTGGTGAATGAGGCATCAGGGGTTGGCAGAGCCATAATAAAATCAAAGATAGGATGATCATTTGGGAAAATGTTACAGGCTTCCCTGGTGGCTCCAATGGGTAAAGAATCCACCTGCAATGCAGGAAACCTGGATTTGATCTCTGGGTTGGGAAGATCCTCTAGAGAAGAGAATGGCAACCCACTCCAGTATTCTTGCCTGGAGAATCCTATGGACAGAGGAGCCAGGCCGGCTACAGTCCACAGGGTCGCAAAGAGTCGGACAGGACTGAGTGACTAGGTATGTACAGTAGCCTAGTTGAGGGACTATGTTCTAGAACTAGTGGAGGACAGATTCATAGTTTCATGTGATTTATGGAGGTAAGATTCACAAAACTTGTAGCTTCACTGAGAACATGCAGGAGATAGAGAAGCAGCCCTATGTTGCTACCTTGAGCAACAGGAGGATGGTAGAGGGAATACTAGAAGGAAGCAGGCAGTTGGTTTTGAATGATGAATTCAGTTAGATGGTTGAATCTGAGGTGTTTGTGGACAGCCAAGTGGCAGCAGTTGGATATGCATATAAAATAGTCAGGAGAGAGGTAGGAATCCCAAGTCACAG